CAATAGTAACGTCAGCTTCAGTATAGGTCTTTAGAGCTTGGCGTTGTTGAGACATTACGCGTTGTTATTACGAAGGTGAGGTACTAGGATTTCGTGGGGCGCACACTGGGGTGGGGCGCACACTGGTGATACACGTTATATGTAGCTAGTTTAGCTATTCTGTGAGCCTCGTACGCGTGCGGAGAAAGTAGCTTGAGGAATGTTGTAGGCCTTTGCAGCAGCTCTCTGATTTAGGAAAACACTAGCATTAAGATCGCGGATGGCTGCTTGAATAGATTCTTCACGGGCATCCATTTTGGCCGTGTGGGTGGCGAGAAAATGCGTGTTTTGATGAGGGTGTTGAGTTCTGATCGGTGAGTTGAAACTCCGGGTGAGTCGAAACCCGGTGGGCTAGCTTATTTTACTTGATACATCGTCGGCGCCCGATGCCCCTTACGAGATGGTATATGTATACATGCATATAATCAACGATGACTTCGAAGGTGTTTGAGCACTCACCAATTACGCTAAACAAACACTAGTTATCGGAGTAGGCCTTTCTCCTCGATTCCCCCCGTTTTTCGTTCCAAGGGACGGATATACTGACACTAAACGTCCTAGGCTCCGGAAATCATGAACATGAATAACTGCGGTTGTACTCTTTCGGCACTCCAGGTGCTCATGCGTATCGAACAGCTTGGGGGCACGACAGTGGCTTTTGATACATCACTCGAAGTCATGGAAATGGCCGAGGAGCGATGTTTGGTAGTGCTCCATTGTGCCGAGTGTAGGCAGCGGCGGTTCCCCCTAGCCAGCATCACTGTCATCGGTGCAGCTATTATCGAGTGGGTGGGCAAACTCTGGATTCAAGAAGACGTCAGCTCGACTAGCAGCTGCGGCACATTCTCCCTTGGCAATTACGAACTCGACCCTGTAGATGCCGAGACGTTATGCTACGAGCTAATGAGCATGAAACTATCACGCTTTTCGGAAATAATGCGTCTGCTGCAAGCTGCTCTCGGGACAATGGCGAACGTACACACCCAAATCTATCGCGAGATCGTCTCCTCCCAACTGCTCCAGCTGCAAAATTTGGTCCAACGCATCAACATCATCTCAGCATCTAATTCACGAGAGAAGATATGAGATCTACGCTCTCGTCTTCCCCTTGCGAATCCCCCCGCGGCATCGGTCGACCGGACAGATAACACCTGTAATGACGGTTCTTGGCTTCACTATTTGGTACAATTTCAGTGTCAACGGTATGATTCTCGGCAGTTCGTTGGATCCGCTACCCCGAGAACCACGTGCTACTCCTACCGGGATTCTCAGACTGAGTGAAGAGCTGTCTGTTCGGCGCAGATTAAAGACCATGGTGAATTGGAGATAGACTTGAGTGATTGGAGGTGGAGTACGGTGATTGGAGAGATAGAACAGACTAGCTCTATGCGCTACCAATGCGTGTCAAGTTGCTCGATTTGCTATGTGTCGGAGGAGAGACCCACATGTCTACCGTGCGCTATCACCTGATGCCCAGCCTTGGCTCGTGCACGATTTCAGCCATGCCTCACCAACTGCTTTGAGGCCACAGAGAACAATAGTAATTAAATTATTATAAGATTTTTTAGAGTTAAGTTCTTTGAGTAGTTACAAATTAATTTAACTAATTAAATTACGTGCAATACCTCTCTAGTAGATTAATGTAGCAGGTTTAAGTTAAACGCCTTAGAACTACCTTCTTATTTACAGTTAATAATTTAGCAATAACAACAGCTTATAACTCTTCTTAAACTTAAAGAAGAGGCTAAGGAGCTTTTCTTCTTTAAGTATTAACCTTTTTAGATAATTATATATCCTTTTAAAGTTGTTGTTAAGCTTGCTAGGTAATATATTTTTCTTTTCTGTCTTTAGCCTTATATAACTTGTTTTAAACCCTTATTTCTTTAGCTATAAGCCTCTATCTTCTTTCTTTTTTAAGTAACTTAGCCTTTTTCTTCTTCTCTTCCTCTCTATGTAGTGCTGCTTTAGTTTTTCTTATTATTAATATTAGATATTTTTATTCTTTGCTTCTTATAGTGTATAGGCAGCCTAAATCTTTAAAAGTAAATAAAATACTACTCTACTATAGTATTCTTTAGGTACTTAAAGTAGTAGAAGCTTGCTATATAACAGGCTAGAGCCTACTTCCTATATCTTAAGTAAAAAGCTTTTGCTAGAATAGAAGCAGAGCTAATATAGACTACACCTAGAGACTTTTCTCTTAGAAGACCTAGGAGAGAGGTACTATATATTACCTCTATATATGTAAACTAATTTATAGCCTTTCTATAATAGCTATTAAATTTATCTAATTTTTTATTCTAGTACTAACTCTTAGGGTTAGCCTATTAATATGCTATACTGTTAGTATTTCTTTTTATTACTAAGAGCTTTTTTAAGTTATATATTTTTATATTCTAAGGTCTATTTTTATACAGTAATTATATAAATAGTTTAACTAAAAACTTAAGTTTTTTTAGAATAAGTATCCTCTACTACTTTATATAATAACCTCTTAATTTTCCTTTAGTCTAAGGTACTTAATACTAATAAAGTACTATTACTTAAGGAAAGCTTTTTAGGCTTTAGGTTATTAAACCTGTTAAGAATAGCCTTAGGATTAAATAGATAGATTCTAGTAGCCTTAAAGAAGTTCTTAATTATTGTTTTTTAAAAAGTAGTAGTTTAAGCTAAGTTAAATAGTTAAAAGAAGTTTTTTTTTATAATAGCTAATAGCTTTTAGCAGTTATATTATAATAAGCTAGACTTATTATATATATATATAGCCTCTATATACTATTACTAGCTATTACTACTTAGCCCTAGCTTTATATCTAACTTATTTCTAACTTTACTCTAAACTTATTCTATACTAAGTATATAAAATAGCTTAATCTTTTAGCTAGCTAGTTATTAAAATCCTAATCCTAGCTAAGTAATTATAATAGGTTAAAGATCTTTTAATTCGCTTAGTAGTAGTTAGAAACTAGAAGGTCTGGTTAGTTCTTAGAGAAAAGTATTAGAGTAATTAAAGAAAAGTAGAAGTAGATAGTAATTTTAGAGTATAGATACTAAATTTATTACTAAAAGTAATTTATAAGTTAAGTATAATCTACTATAAAAGTAATTATATAAGACTATATACTTAATAAAAGTAAGTACTTATACTAAGTAATTAGTATACTTAGTATACTTAGTAGTACTAATTAAAGTAAGTATACTAAATATATACTTTTAACTCTAATTAGTTACTATTTTTTAGTAGTCTAGAGTTCTAGTTTTATTACTATGTAAGAAAGGTAGTATAGTAATAAATATATCTATATTAACTAATTAGCTATAAAGTCTATATAGATTATAATACTAGTTATTAATTAATCTTATTTTTACTGATACTATTATAGTCTCTATAAGTATATAGCTTAGTAATATAGTAGTAAAGCTTATACCTTTTATATATATATAAAGTTTAATAGCTTAGCTAAGTAAGTATTATAATCTAGATCCCTAACTTAATTAGAAGGCTAGATTAGATTATGTTACAGCGCAGCTAAAATCCTACACTAGTAATTATAGAGTTACATAACTAGCTTACGCTTAGTATAGTAAGCTCTAGCATAAGAAGTTATGTAATAGCTTACGCAGCTTATAGTAAGCTAAGTAAGCACTTACGCCTTAGTAGAGTAAGCTACTNTTAAAGAGTTACTTACTATAGCTCCTCTAGAAGTATATAGCCTTATATAATTACCCTTATAGTAGATTATATTTAACTTATCTTTATACTTATTATCTATAGTAAGTAATTAATTTAGTATTTATACTCTAAGATTATTAGCTATCTTATTTGGTTATTCTTCTACAAAAACTAACTAAGTACCCTTAAAGCTAACTCCCTAGCTTAGTAATCTAAAAGGTCTCTAACCTATCCCTAATTACCTAGTTAAGATCAAGCATCTTAATAGTAAGCTAATAAAAAAAGCTTAAATAGAGCTATATAAAGTAGCTGTAATATATAAGTACTATAAGAAAAAAATAGAAAAACTAGAATTTAATTATTTTTATAGTATTTAAGAAAACTTATAATAATATAAAAGCTATAGCTTATAAGAATTATAAGCTCTATTATTATATAGCTAAGCTATATACTTATAGAAACTAATAGTATAAGTAGAAATAAGATTAATTAATAACTAGTAAGCTAAAAGATTAGGCAATTTTATATACCTAGTATAGAATAGATTTAAAGTAGAGTTAAAAAAAAGTTAGATATAAAGCTAGATAGTAATAGCTAGTAATAGTATATAGAGGCTATATATAGAGGCTATATACAGAGGGGTAACATGAAAAAAGAGTATTCCTAAAAGTTCTAGTTTTTAAACTAGTATAACTAGCTGAATATTAAATCTATTTCCAATTAGGCTAGCTCATTTTCAAGGCAAGAGGTAGTAGTTTAACCTA